CGGGGCGGGCCCCTTCCACTTGGGAAGGGCCGCGCCCCAAGTCCAGTGACGGTGCTCCCTGGAGGCCCCCACTTGCCTGCGCCTCCCCACTGCCGGCCCCCAGGCCCCAGAGGGACGGGCAAGTTCTGGGCGCCCGGGGCTGCCCGCGGGACACGTGGAGAACCGGCACAGGAGCCCGCGGGCGGCTGTGGGCCGGGCAGCTGGAACCCGCGGGCGGGGCCCCCGGGAGACGCAGATAGGGTGTCTGTCTGCTCGCGTGCGGAATGTGCATTTGTCACCGCTGCCCTCGCGTTCTCTCGAGGCAGTGGCAGCTGGTCCCAGGACCCCAGACCGCGCCGCCCTTCGTTTGCTGGTAAACACACTCCTGTGAACTTCAGTGTGGCTCCCCGCACACGCCCATGGCGGTGGGTGACCCTCCGCCGGTCTTCTCGAGGACCCAGGGAGCTGTTCAGGTGAGAGGTAGTCCCCAGGTGGAGCAAAGTTGGGCTGGGTGATATTGCCATGTAGTGCCCATCTCAGAGGGACCGTAGTCACCCACCATCCCACCCCGCCCCCCAACCTTGGTTATATGCAGGGGCGAACATTTTGGAGACACAAATCCTTCACTGAATGTACTGTTTTAAAATCCGTTTAAGTACGTTCATTTAACTAATTGAGGCTTTATAGAAGAAAACAACTACCCAATTCATTCAGCATTCACTGAGTGCCTGCTAGGTGCCTAGGAATCTGGGCTGTACAGTAGGCTGCAAAGCTCCCTTAGGAGTTTAGAGAAATGTAAAACATTACAGGAATTAAGTTAAAACCTACTGGTAAAATGCACTGTGCTCAAACAAAGTGTGGGCCCAAAACGCTTACTCAGTGTTTCCCCAGTTGTATTAAATGTTTTTGACACTTGGAATTCCGCGAAACTGCTTGAATGGACAATGTGTCACCGATTTTTTTTTTTTAAATAAAAAGCCTATGTTCCATAAACGTGAAATACAGTATGACTAAAAGTGACCCCAAAAAGTGACATGAAAGAGACCCGTGGCTAGTGCGGGTGGGGGAAAGGAATATGGCAGAAAGACACGTCCCCTCCATCAGCAAGAGGGGCATCGAGCCCGTGGCGAACTGTGGGCCGTGGTTTTCCGTTCTGTACTATGGGTACAATAGGACCGACCTTCAAGTTTTGTTGTAAGAAGTAGAGATAATATGTGAAAAGCGTCTCCCCTAGTACCTGAAATGTGATACCTAATAAATTGTAATGAATAAATGGTAGTAACCGTTATTAAAACGCTTCACCGTGAAACAGAAAAATATATTTTTATGCACTTCTTATAGTGTATCTGTATTTTATATATTTTCTGTTCTTTTTGCATAAATCCTGCCTAAGTTGATGTCTTGACTACCTTAAAGAAATTTTAATGAGTATAATAAGATGGCCAAATAACAATTAACTTTGTGCTTGTAGAAAAATTACCATCTTAAGGCAAATATGTAAATCACTGTTGTAAAATTTTAAGTAGATTGAATTTATTACTTATGTTCAGGCAGTAAATGAACAGGGCTAAACTGACTTAATCTATTGCTTCCCAAAGAAATCATAAAGCCAGTTTATATACATAAAACTATAACTGGTGATTGTTTCTGTTAAAGTGTAATGGAAAATACAATGTTGGACATCCTTTATTTAATAGCTCAGAGCAACCCCAAATAGGAGGAGATCATTTAAATTTTTTTATTGGTCTACAGATTCATGACGAATTCCTGAGCTCCTCTGGCACTACAATATTCCTTTCCTTAAAAAAAAAAAACCCAAAACAAACAAAAAACACCCGATAAATTTACTCCTACAAATAGGAAGCCTTCAGAAATCCACTTGCTGTTTTTCATCTGCTCATAATAACCTGTATTTCCTTCTTTGTGTTTAAACTCATGGTTCTTCCACTATCCTTTTTCTTACCCACAGTTAACGGACAGGCTGAGTTTTCACAGGGAAAATTCCTTTCGTTTTCGGAACATGAAGCACATCGTTGGTCCACAGCCAGCTCAGGAAGCTCAGGCTTCCAGCTGAGCCGAGAAGCATTTGAGGTGGCGCAGGAGATGAGGAGCATCTTCTAACTGCACCGTTGGTGAATCGGGGTGTTTTTAAGATTTACCTATTGTTCATAGAGATGTATTTCTCTCCCATTCAATATGCTATTCAACTTTCACAATAAACCCAGGGGTTATTTTACATATGGGGAAACTGTGGCTGACATTTTTAGGACCATTTTCTCTAAAGTAACGTCTTCTGGTTCTGATCTACTTGAGATTTTCATTCTCTAGCATTGCAAAAACACAGTAACTTATTCTCTTGCTTGGGAAGTTAGTACCTCAGGGAGAAAAATCACCTGTGTCTGGGTTCTTTATATTTAACCAGTGAAACAAATTTGTATGTAGTAGGTCAGTGTAAAAAATGAATGTCAGATTGTTGCTTTTTTGGAACCCATTATACAATGCTAAGTTTATTTTGTTTGTTTTTGTTTTTTAACGAATTTACTTTGTCTTAGAAATGTTAATAAGGCTATAGACCACCATTAAGAAGAAACAGTTTTGGGTATTTGGATATGTGAACAGGCCCAAATCCTAGGCCAGCAGGAGCTCCCTCCCGTCTTTCCTTCAATATTTTCAGATGGAGAGGGGAAAAAATGTTTTTGAGCATCAGATATAAGGAGGATGTCATTTTCCGCCTCAGCTACAGGAAAGATGACACTGAGATGCCGCTGGCTGCCCTCAGGCTTGGTGCAGTTCATAGTCTGTGCCCGGTGGCCTCGTCCCTGGGCTCAGGTTAGGGAAACAGAGGTCGCCCTCTGGTGGGGTCACGGGGCACAACCTGACCTCAGATTGGCAGCAGAGCTGTGCCAGACAGAGCAGTAGAAAACATGTAAGAGTGTGAGAGAAATTTTCCTTTCCTAAACTCTTCCTCAGCCCACAAGCCAGTGTTAAAAGGATCGAACTGAAAACTGGGAGACCTAGGTTTTAGTTCTGCCCTTTTCTGTCACTTTAGTGACATTATTTGAGCTTTCTGGGCCTCAATAACCTCATGAGCAGTATGGATAAAAGGTCATCTGATAGTTGCCCTCAACGTTCTGAGTTTGCGTCACAAACTTACGTACATCCACAAAGCCTCAGCACTTCACAGTTTAAAGATTTTTCCATCCATTAGCTCATCGGATTTTTCCAAACTCTGAATGAAGAAGTGAAGGTGTGAAGGTATTAAAAGTGAGTATTTCAGTGCTATATTTAATTGTGAGGTCATAATTACATCTCGTCACTAACATGTTAAGGCCTATGTTTGAAGTCCTCTGCAGGAATTAACTCATTTATCCTCATAGCAAGCTTTTTTATTTCCTTTATCTTTTTTCCCTTTTAACCTTTTATTTCGATATAATTTCAGACTCACTGAAAAACTGCATAAATAACACATCTGTCCAGATTCCCCAAATATCAACACTTCCTGTGTTTGCTTCATCCTCCCAAGCCCTTACTGCTCTCTATGTTTTTCTCTGAATTGTTGCATACACCATGCCCCTCTACCCCCAATACTCATTTCACTTCCCAAGAACGGGGACTTTCTCCTATGTGACTGCAGTACCGTGATCATGATTGGGATAATAGCATCGACACAAGACCATGATTGTATCTCAAAACTATTACCTCAGAGTTATTAAAATTTCACCAATTGTTCCACTGTTGTTCTCTATAGCAAAAAAATTAAAAAATAAAAGCCATTCTGTCCAGGATCCAATCCAGGCAGGATCATCTGATATATTTTGCTGTCATGTCTCTCATGTGAAGCAGTTCCTCAGTTACATGGCCTTAACATATTTGCAGAATTTAGATGATTTATTTTGTTAAATGTCCATCAATTTGGGCTTTTCTGTTTCCTCACGACTGGAGTTCGATTACACTCAAGTTATGCTTTTTGCTTTTTTCTTTTTCTTCCTTCTTGGCCAGGAATACCACAGAGTGCTGTGTTGCTCTTACTGTATTATTTCAAAGGCCTCATTATGTTTATTTGTTGCAGTGCTGCGTGAGGTTAACTTTGATTACTGAAGGTGGCACCTGCCGGTGTTCCTCACTGTTCGTCTCTTTCCACAATCCATTTCTTTCTAATTAAAAGGTAATTTATGTGGACGTTCTTTGAGGCTGTCTCTCCTCGAATGTTCACCTACTAGTTTAGCCTCCATTCATGGTTTTACCTACAATGATGGTATTTTCTGTCTTTGTTATTCCTTTACACTTAGTGGCTGGCATCTTGCCGTAAGAAAGACTTTTCTTCTCCCCATTTATTGATTTCATAACAAGCTTTTTTTTAAGTTTTAGCTTCTCAATATACATTGTAGTTGATTTTTGTGTCCCTTTACCCATTCCTCTTCCCCCTTCCTGTCCCCTCCCCCTCACTACATCATATCTGTTCACTTGTCTTAACAAGTTCAAGGAATCATAACAAGCTTTTGATACAAGTGCTTTTGTTACCCTCCTCTGCAGAGGAGGAAACTGAAGGGTGGCAGAGAAAGGGAGTGCCCTGTGTCACACGTGTGGTAATCGCAGGTAACCTGGGCAGGACAAGAACTCTGAAACTGCTTCCTCATCTGTAAATGGAGAGTAAGACGCCCACAGCCCAGGGTTGTTGGGAGGACCAGATGAGATGAGGACTTCAAACTGCCTACCCCAGTTGAACATATGTTAATTATTCAATAAACAGTAGCTGTTATTAAAAGGATGGGAGTAAGCCGAGTTTGTGGGTAAGGAAATCTGGTTAGAGAGGGAGGGCGATATACATAAGACACTTGCTACTTAGGAATGTTCTGATGCTAATTGCTGACTGCCAGTTATTTGCCAAGTTCAGTTCCAGGATCCACGGATATAGAAGTTAATGATAGAACATGTGCTTGCTCTAACTCTCACTACTGTATATTTTTATTAGGTGAGAAACTGAGCTGAAAATGCCCTCCTAACCAGTCACATAGGAGGTCCCATTTCTAGCGAGCCCACCTGCAGCTCTCCTAGGCCAACAGCTTCCCCTCCAATCAGGGCACACCTGACGCCTTCCCACATCCAGCATTCCTGCTCCTGTGCCGGCCTTTGAGATTCTGCCAAATGCAAGTGATGGTGGCCGACTTTCTTACTATAGCAAACTCTGAGTTATAGTGTTTGTTTGTTCTTATTTGGATGGTCTTTGTTTATTTCCACACAGCGAGAAGGGAGACCTATCAGAAAGCCACCAGAAGCACACCTGATCCTATTTCAAATCCTTGGGAGGATTTGGAGAGGGATTGAAGACTAGTCAAGAAATTTCCATTTTAAAAATAGTCCTAAGGGAATAAACAGCCCATATGTGATGTTTCTTTGATTACCTTTTCAAAGACCTCTCCCTAACATGCTAGCAATATAATTAATTGAAACCCACCTCCACTGCTGGGTAATTTTTCCCTTGATTAGCCCATCTCTCACAAAATGCTAATCACTCTGAGGTGAAGCAGCCTGTCCTGACACACAATTACAGCAGAGATGAAAACACCATTCCATTTCAGAAGTCTAAATTCTACAGCAGTTTGAATTTTTTTTAGTCAATGATAGAAATGGTACAAAATAGCTTTAGTTATACAAACAAATGGATAATAATGGCACCAATTTAGGAGACATCAGAGGCATAAATACAAAGTGGAAACTTTGGACCAATTTTTTTTGAAAACCCTGCACAGTTTTTCAAAAGAAGTACTAAGTTGTCTTATATTTCTCTTTTTCAGTTCAAGTTATTCTCCCAGCATATTTCTAGGACTTGTCTAACACAGATTAAAATCAATACATGCCTCCCAAGAGTATTCTTATATGATTGGGACTGATCATAAGTTATAAATTAAATAGCACAATTTAGATAGCCATGCATTTCTTAGTTCAAAACTCAACAAAAGTAAAAAAACAAAAACAAAAAGCAAGAAAACCACCACCAAAGTAAACTATATTACATGCAAGTAATAATTTTTAAGTGACTGGTCTAAGGGGAGCCAATTATCCTGTGACATGTAAAAATATTAGAGGGTCAGAATCTCTTCTGCCCTTTTAGTTCAGCTGTTACTTATGGTGGCAGTATTGATGAGACACAATGAATAATTTGCTCTGAAAAGGTTAGCACTTTTAAAAATCTACCTTTTCTTCTTTCTAGTTTACATGGGTTGTGGAGGATGCTCTTATCTATTGAGTCATTGAGAAATGATAACAGGAAAAATATGTACATGTTCATGATTTCCCTTTTCTGAGAATAGTGATATCCACCGAAGAACACTCTCAACACAGGGGCTGTCCACATGCAGATAGGTCTCTTTCCACCAGCATCTCCCTGAATGAGAGGGCAACGGCCCTCAAAGTGTGGGCCAGGGGCTCAGGGGGCTTCAAGACCCTCTCGAAAGGGGTCCTGAAGTAACCAGCATTGTTTTCGTGATAGTACTAGACGCTGTTGGCCTTTTCCACCCCCATTCTCTCTGAGTGTGCCGTGGAGCTTCTCGAGGCTGTGTGGCCTGTGCTACTGCAGCAGATGGACTGAAGATCCCCTGTGAGAGTCCACATCTCTGCTAAACCAACATTAAAGTGGTTTGCAAAAATGTGAAACAATGTGATCCTTCTCACTAGATTTTTTTTNAATGTATAATGTATGTTAATATGTAAGAGCTTATTGTTATTTTTAAATTAATTATTTTTAAAATTTCCCATTTTTATTTCAAATTTAGTAAATATTAGTAGATGTAGCCCACATAAATCAGTACTTTTAGGGAACCTCAGTACTTTTTAAAAGTGAAAAGGAGTCCTGAGATTAAAAAGTTGGAGAACTCACAAACTCCCTGATGATTGCTGGAAACCCTCCCCACTGTCCCTCAGGGCTTCATGAAGTGGCTCTCCTGTCACTTTTCCTGCTCATCCCGCCCCTTCCACCTGCTGCTGGGCTCAGGCGCCTCCAGCCTGGGCCGCCACGTGCTCCCTCTCTGCCTGGTGTCTGCCCTCTGCCTCCTGCAGCTCATTTCTTCTAATCCTTCACATCTCAGCCTAAATCTCATTTTCTCAGAGAAAACTTACTGACAACCCAGACCTTGTTAAGTCCTTTCTACGTATCCCCTCATGGCATATAGTGCTTTTTGCCATCGTTGCATTTAGCAAAACTGCAATTACATTCAGCAAGTGTTTATCGAATGTCTTCTCTATGCCAAGACCTGTTCCAGGCCCTGGGAAGCATCCGTGAAAAGTACAATTAAAAAATCCCAGGCCTCATGGGGCTGACATTGTGGTGCAGGGTGGGGAGGAGACAGTAAGCACACAAATGCATAAATTACACAGTATGTCAATGATAATAAGAGCTACTCAGAAAAATAAGCCAGGGGAGGATGAGGGGGAGTGCTGCAAGTGGCGGTGTTGCTATTTTTAAAAGGCTGATCAGGGAAATCCTTGCTGAGAGGGTGAATAAGCAAAACCCAATGGGAGCAGGTCTCAGGATACCAGGAGGAGCGGGAGTTACTAAAAATTATAAGGAAGTATATGCTTTTAAAGTGTCATGAGGTAAGTTCTTCGGAGTTCCTCTCCCCTGCTCGGATGAGCCACTTAAAACAGGGATGTCACCGCTGTGTCCCGCACTCTGTGAGTGTCCGTCAGGTGAATGCCGGATGCGCAGCGCTGGCTCTGACTCTTCACCTGTCCTTCACCCCTCGTCCAGGCACA